CTAAGCCACTTGACACTACCATCACAATCTCTACTTTCATCATCGGAGTGTCACATTAACTGTTAATGTAGTGTCATAATGCCAAATATAACACCATATAATGACACATGACAATATATAATGCCACGTATACATATATATAGTGCCACAAATGCTCATATGTAATGCCACAATGTGAACCTAATCAGAGTGTCACACAAACGCATACTGTCAAACCAAATGCATTGCCCTACATGACTGCCGATGACAAAATTCAAAGAAAATAAAATTTAATTAAAGATCAAAAGAGAACTCACTTACTTTTGAAATCAGGCTTTGAGGGAGCAAGATGGAGGTGAGACGGCGTGGGCGGTGATGGCGTTCTGATTTGGTGGCGGTTAAAATCGAAAAGAAGGGGATGAGCGGCGGAAGAGAGAGATCTGTGACGAGTTTGAGATGGGTGGGGTTAATGACGGTGGCGATGGTGCTGCAATTAGGTGACAACGGCGGTTGCGACGATTCTAACATAGTGGGATGGGATGGGCGACGGAAATGGACCAGGGTGGAGCGAATGAAGCAATTCGTAGGATCAAGAAAGAGTTTGGGAATGGGGAGTAGGTGGTGTCTTACTCCATTTTAATAATTTAGCTCCTATTTACGTTCAATCCAAGATTCAATGTCAATTATGACAATAAATGCTTCAATGCCAATTAAGACAATTAATACTGCAAAATTTCGTGCTGCATAATGTTAAACATGACACCGTATCATATAAAAAACTGCAATGGAAATTATGACAACCAATAATGCAAAATTTTGCACTACATAAAAACAAATAAGAAACTACATAATGTAAAAAAGAAAACATAATGAGAAGAAACACTCTCTATCATAACGTCAATGAAAAAAGTTGGCTAAAGTAAAAGCAAAACAAACTTAGCCATGGAGTTCAAGCTTTGCATAATAAAATTTATCTGTAGGGGCATGCAAGATCAGACTTGTGGGCTGTGGCAGATGGGGTGTGGGGACGCAGGGCTATGCGAGGGAATGGGAAAGAGAGAGAAGGAGGTTGGGCGGCACTGTAAAAGCTAGAGCAACGCTGGTGAAGGTTGCCAGCGACGGCGATAGGTGCAAGAACTGCAATGTAATTGTGCGAAGAAAGAGAGAGAAAGGGGAGGCTATGGGGCAACTTTATGCAGTTAGAAATAATTGACACAAAATATCATTAATTACTCCTATTCAGAGGAGTTTAAGTTTAAGCTCCTATTTTCAGGATATGACACATGTTTTACTCTTATTTAGAGGGTTTTCTTTTTATGTTAATAAAGCTCAAGGTGTTCACTTTTTAGTTTCTTTCTTCTTTATTTTTTTTCCAATTTTTTTTTAAATTTCTAATCTTAGTCTATTTCATGAGTTAAAAATGGTCATCTGATATAAAAAAATAAACATAATAAAAATGACTATAGTAAGGACAAAATGTGAAAAATATATTTTTAACGGTTATTAATAAGTGGATGGATGAAATGTCTCCCTTATGTTTTTTTCGAAAATGTAATTTTTTTTGAAAATGTAGGGGCCTCCAAGTTATTTAAATTGAACTAGTATCACACCCGTGCATTGCAAGGATCATTTTTACGTCATTTTTGCGTTGTATATGTTATTTTCTTCCGTTTTAAATAATAACTAAAAGACTAATTAAATAGTAATACGGTCTTTCCATATTAGTTCCATAGTATTAAATATTTAATTGTAAACAATGTTACGGAAATAATAATATTAATGATATGGCGGATTTGACCTAAGTAAAAATTAATTAAATAGTAATGCTATTTTTTTTAGTTACCAATTTTATACTTACTATTTAAACTTCACACCTACCTAATGTAATGCTTATCAGGGTTGTATTATGTCCATGTTTTAAAGTAATAATTTTAATGCAAAGTGTGTTTTATTAATGAAAGGTGTCAGTAGCTTTTTTTAGTCAATCACGTGCCAATCACCATTTTATATATTTTCCGTATAATCTTTTATTATAATACCAATTTTTTTACTTACTAATTATATTCACAATTACCTTCTGATTTCAATAATAAATAAAATACTAATCCATTCACTCCATTCAGTAACACAGTCTTTCCATATTATTTCCATAATATTAAAATACGGAGTATTAAAATAGTAAACCTTAATTAATGGCAGATTTAGAATTACCTTATGTTTTGAATAATAAATAAAACACTAATTAAATAGTAACACGGTCTTTCCATATTATTTGCATAGTATTAAAGTAGGATTGCCTTAATTAATGACGGATTTGAAATTACCTTCCATTTTGAATAATAAATAAAATAGTAATTATAGTAATACGGTTGTATTATGTGCAGATTTTAATTTAATATTTTTAATGGAAAGAGTGTTTTATAAATGGAATCTCCCATTAACTTTTTTTGGATTCAATCGCGCTAGAAAATTTTCCCAATGAATATTTATAGTAACAGTATCCATAGTATTAAAATGGTAAACCTTTATTAATGGCGAATTTGAAATTACCTTACGTTTTGAATTTATTATTTTTTATGGAAAGAGTGTTTTATAAATGAAATCCGCCATTAACTTTTTTTATTCAATCACGTTAGAAAATTTTCCCAAAGGACTTTTTTATAGTAACAGTATCCATAGTATTAAAATGGTAAATATTTATTAATGGCGGATTTGACTTACCAAATAAAATTTGACCTACCTAATGTAATGACCAAAACGGTTGGGCGTGAAAGCACTCATTGGATTTCCCATCTTTTTAAATTAAGTATGAATATGAATTCTTACTATAATTATATTATACTATAATTATTCTTACTATAATTATATTTTACTATAAGCATACACAGTTATTTTCAAAATTGTGTGTATAATTATTCTTACTATAATTATATTATATTACCAACTTACACGGTTATACAATCAATACGTTGGTTTATTATTACCTTTTTAACTATTTCCACTTTTAATAACTTAATAATAACGCTTTTAAACATTTTTTATAGAAATTACCTTTCTTGCACAGAGTAATAATTCGTGCACGGGTTAAAAATGGTAGTTAATTATATAATTTTTTGGTTATTACCATTCTTGCTGGCGTGCTTAAAAATCATACATTGGTATTGTGCTTAAAAATCATTGGTAGCGTGCTTAAAAATCATTTTATTAAAAACTATTTTATTATTTTTATTCACAATCATACACTAACCATTTAATTTCACAATAGCTATTTTACTATAATTTCGGACACTTAGCATTTAATTTCACAATTGCTATATGTAATGGTCATACGTCGTGCACGGGTTAAAAATGGACACTCTAATTTCAGACACTTACCATTTATATAGGTAATAATTGCACGGAGTAATAATTTTATAATTATTACATTTTTTGGTTATTACCTTTCTTGCTATTAAACATAAATATAATTATATATACCATAATTATATTATACTATAATCATACACACGCTTTTTATATAACCCAAGGTAATCATATAATTATATAATTATGTTAAGAATAATCATATACACGTTTTTAATAGCACTAGTATCACACCCGTGCGTTGCACGGGTCATTTTTATGTTATTAAATTCAAATTATTTTTCAATGATAAAAATGAGATACAATAAAATATAGAGATTATATTATTTTAAGGTTAAAAACATCATTGTTTTACAAAATTCGAAAGACTTCTTTATAGACTACATTATTGTACAATTTGTGGGGATATTTATAGTATATTTAATTGTAATAGGCTATAGGCTATTATAATTATAATTATAATAAGAAGGGTTAACTTTTTTCGAAATTGGGTGTAATTATTCTTACCATAATTATTTTTTTCGAAACTGGGTGTATAATTGTATAACTTACCCTTTTTAATTATTTCCAATTTTCAAAAACTTACTCTTTGCATTTGTATAACTTACCTATATTAAAAACATACGCTTTGGATTTGTATAACTTACCTTTTTTAATATGGTAATTATTATAAATATAATATTTTATTAACTTCCGATATATGGCTTACCATTTTATAGTACTCACGTTAATTATTATAAAAATAATTATATTAACTTCCGATGGTTAAAATGATAGTTACTTATTCTTACCATAATTTCATATGTTTCCAATCAGTATTCAAAATAACGTTGGTTAATTATTAGCATATAATACATTGATTCCAATTTTATTAAAAACCTTACGCTTTGCAATTTTATAACTTACCTTTTTTAATTATTTCCCATTTTCAATACGTTAATTATTATATATATAATAATTATATTAACGTCACGCTTACCATTTTATATTACTCACATTAATTATTATAAAAATAATAGCTATATTAACTTCACACTTACAATACGTTAATTAATTATTATAAAAATAATAGCTATTATTATACTTATACCTTTTTTAATAATTATAAATCCACAATTTCAGCCACTTACCATTTTAACATCACAATTATTTACTTACCTTTTGGCCATTTTATAATTATTATAAATATAATAATTATAATAAGTATTACTACAATTTCGGCCACTACAATTATTAACTTACATTTTTTAATAAGTTCTAATTTTCAATACGTTAATTATTATATTTATACCTTTTTTAATAATTATAATTTCACAATTTCAGCCACTTACCATTTTAACTTCACAATTATTAACTTACCTTTTGGCTATTTTATAATTATTATAAATATAATATTATAATAAGATTTAATAATCATAAACCTTTCCTTATGTAATCGTAAACCTTTCTTTATGCGTTCCTTCCATCATTTTTCTCACTTCTTTCCTTTTTATTATGTTCACATAAAAAAACACATGGGTTTAAATCTTTACGTTATATCCTTCTTTTAAGCTTTCCTTTATTTTTAGGAAAAGTCATTATGTTCTAGTGCTATTTAAGTAAATTTTTCTTTTTAAAACAGTAATTTGCGTATGAATAAATATTGTTTTTCTTGTTATCACGTACTAAAAAAATATCCTCCTTTTTCATATGAATAAATTTCCTTTTTATCACATATTAACATAATAATATAAAAATTCTATATTTTTTCACAATTTTTTGCCCGTTTAATCTGTTTACAAAAAAAAAAAACAAACGGTTTTAAATCTTTACGTTATATCATTCTTTAAAATACTAATTTGCGTAGGAATAATTTACCTTTTTAACGTACTAAAATAATCGCGGTTTTTAATCTTTACATTATATCCTTCTTTAAATCTTTCGTTCTTTTAAAATGGTAATTTGCATAGGAATAAAATATTTTTTAAAATAATCACGTTCCATCTCTTTATGTTTGCCATTTTTAAAATAACCTCTTTTCTTGTATGAATAAATTTCCTTTTTTATCACATATTTAAAAAATAATAATGATATCAAAATATAAAGTAAATTTTTATTTCTCAATTTTTTTCCTTGTTAATCTGTTTACANTTTTAATCTTTACATTATATCCTTCTTTAAATCTTTCGTTCTTTTAAAATGGTAATTTGCATAGGAATAAAATATTTTTTAAAATAATCACGTTCCATCTCTTTATGTTTGCCATTTTTAAAATAACCTCTTTTCTTGTATGAATAAATTTCCTTTTTTATCACATATTTAAAAAATAATAATGATATCAAAATATAAAGTAAATTTTTATTTCTCAATTTTTTTCCTTGTTAATCTGTTTACAAAAAAAACACACAGTTGTAAATATATACGTTATATCCTCCTTTAAAGCTTTCCTTTTTTAAAATGCTAATTTTCATAGGAATAAATTACCTTTTTTTACACGGTTGTAAACAAATAAAAAATTATCAATAACACCCTTTATGTTTCTAGAAAAAAACACACGGTTGTAAAAACATTAGATTCCTTCCTTTTTGGTCAGATTACAATGCATTCAATTGGTATAAATGAATTAGTGAGAAGTTTCCTTTAATATATCCTTCTAAATTGGTAATAATACACAACCAATCATAACCGTAGATCTTTTTCGTACATTGATATCAACGGTGCAGGATTATAGTGCATTGGGCGGGAAAAAAATTCCCCTGCTTTTAAGAATAGAGTGATTGATTGGCGTGTATTAAAGTTTATAAATATTTTTTATAAATAATTTTTGACTATTCTATTTTTATAACTTACATTTCTTACTAGTATTAATGTTGTACACTATAAAAATGATAGTTAATTATTATAAATATAATATAATAATTATACTTATAAAATGTAAATTTTATACTACGAGTAATATAATTTGAGACACTTACCATTTTAACTTTACATTACCATATGTAATGGTCATACTCTTTCGGCGAGAAAACGCAATATTGATTACTATCTTTTTAAATAAAGTAAGGAGTAGCCTTACCCACTACTCATGTTTAGAGGCCAAATAGCACCGGTATTCCTCGTGCTTTGCAAAACAGGCACCAATACCTCCTCTGTTTTCAAAACTTATTTCTAAAGTCCGTGTGGTTTCAAAATGCTGCACCCGTGCCCCCTGTGATAATTTTCCGGCCATTTTTCCGGCGAAGAAGGGGGCGTTGGTGCATATTTTTTAAACCATAGGGGGTATCAATGCTGATTTTTATTTTTCGTTTATTTTTTTTCCATTTTTCCTTTTTTTGTTTCATTTATTAATAAAGGTTTTTTTAAAATTATTTTTATAATGTTCTTAAAATTTAAAGTTATTTTTGTTTGAAAAAATTAACATATAATGCATATGTACGTCTCAAATTAACATTTTTGTTTTGTCTGAAAAAAAGTAATTTTTTTGAAACTTCAAAAAAATGAGGAATAAAAAAAGAAACAAAATAATACAAAAATAAAAATAAATATCCTTTTTGGACATCTCAATTCTAAGGAATTTTTTAAGTGTGTCCAATTTGTTTTTTGTATAAGACTTTTTTTTGCGTATTTTAATTTTTCATTCCGTTTTTCTATATTTTTATTTTTTTATTCTGAGTTTTTTTATCTTTCCGAAAAATTAATCTAAGTAACAAAAAGTGAAAATATTTAATTTGAGATAGATGTACTGTATGTTAATTTTTTTATTTATATTTTTATTTCAAACACAAAGAATTTTAAAATTTGTAAAACATTTTAAAAAATTGAAAATATATTTTTTAAAAAAAATCTAGGAAAAGGAAAAGAGATAGAAAATATTTTAAAAAGGAAAAACACAAATAATAAATGAAAATAAGAAATGAGCACGAATGCCCCCATGGTTTAGAAATTACGCATTAATGCTCCCTCTTCGCTGGAAAATGGACGGAAAATGATCAGAGGGGGTGTGAGTACACCGTTTTGAAACTACAGGGACTTTAGAAATAAGTTTTGAAAACTGAGGAGTTATTGGTGCTAATTTTCCAAACGGGCTGGAGCTATTTGGCCCATGTTTAGAAATAAGTTTTCGAACTCCTCTTTGAACCTAAGCAAGAGCAATAAGAAGCCCATTAGTTAGCTGGCGATGGCGATGACGATGACGAAATCGTTGCTTACTCGGCCGGGCATGTCGATCTTCTGCGCCTCGCGATTTCGCTTCCCAAGTAACCTCGTCCGGTTTTCAGTTGCAGCAACGACTAAACTCCTAGCAGCAGACCCGATCGCGTCGGAAAAGCTCCTTTATCCTATCACGGTGGCGGCTCCATTCGTTTTCCAGCGTCAGACATTCTGTACACGATCAACGGCCGAAGAGAAATGTTACCGCACAATCGATTCTCCTCTGATGCAGTCCATGAAAAAGAAGGTCCGATCAATCATTCTCGTTTATGAGTTATGACCTTCAGTATTACATTTCTTAGTTTCGAAGTAATTGCTAGTTTTGCTAATCTTTTTTCTTTTTTTGCCTTGTTAATCGTATATTTTGATTTTGGAATCAATACAAATTCGTACAATATTACGGAGTATACACTAATTTTAGCTTAACTCATTTTAGATTAAATTCTTATCTTAAATAATACTCAGGATAAACAGGCCTTGCAAAATGCAAAAGAATGGCATTTTAAGTTATGTTTGGTTTCAGAGGATGTGCGGGGAGCAGATGGATTTTGCTCCCTTCCCTTCTTGGTAATTAAAAATGGACCCCTTCCGAAATTGCGGGATTTGGAGTGGGAAATATCACCATTTGAAGTCTAAATTGCTAAGTAAAAGAAATATATTTCCGGGTGGCTCTCCAACACACATCTCAAATGATTTGAAGTTAAATGCTTTATAAATATTAAAGACAATGTACATTTAAAGATGTAGGGAGTACAAGATATTTTTGTGAATAAATGTATTGAAAAGATAACAATTATTTATTTTGAGTCAAATTTACCATGTATAATTGTTGCTACGTCGGGGTACATATAAAATTGATAAGGGGAGTGTGGTCTATTTGTTGTTAATTTCTCTTTCCTCCCTCTTAAATCAACAACTTAGAACTAAAATGGCTCTTTTCCCGTCTAATATATCCAAATGTTGTAATATTAAAATCTCTTCGGCTGTTGTACCAAACAAAGTGTTAATCGTATACTTGAATAAGCATAGACAAGTCATTTTACAAGACTTCATATTACGAGTATATGTGTATGAGTACATTGCATAGGCTCTGCTGCGACATTGGGTATAATTAGCAAGAACTCCATATGCTATTTCGTATGCTGTTCTAGGATTCAGTGTGCACAGCAATTCAAAGTGTCATTATAGTTTAAGTAGTTATGGAGTATATCATAAAGAGAAAATTTGCATGTATTTAGATGCATAAAATATTCCAAGATGAAGTGTTTATTATTAAAGCCCTTTGCCTTTTGGGGTTGGCCCTTTCTTTTATTGAGGGGCCTAGCCTAACAGGTTAGTCGTAAAGCATAAAAATTATTATTTGAGGGTTCTGGAGTTGTTGGATAGATAGAAATGTGCAAATAGAGATATTTAGACTTCAATAAGGCTATAAGAGGGGTATTAGTAAGATTATTGGGAACCCAAAGTGAAAGACATTCCTTGCCTTCTTCTTTTCCTTATCTTGATAGACGGTTTTTTTGTCGAATTATTGTGATTTAATCTGATCTAGGTATGGTAATCGCATAATGAATGTGTGAGGCTTGTAAGCTTGGTAAATTTTTCCTTAATCTGTTTGGAAACATGCAATTTTCTTTCCACGCTTGTTAAATGCTCTACCCCCATCCCCATATTATGGACTTCCGTGTTTTTTTTCAGCTCCCATCTATACATGCCATGATCTGGCTAAAATCAATATCTAGTAGTGTTTCTTATACATATTTTGACCAATGGGAGCAACCAGAAATTGGGTCATTATGGTTAAGCTGAGGAAAGTGGAAAATTGATTGCTTTTTTTGACTTTTTTCATTTCTTTTACTCAGCATTCACCTTTTAGTTTTATTGGCTTAACTTTCTTTTCCCTCGGTGTTTTATTGTCTTAACTTTACGCCTTGCTGTTTTGTGTGACAGTGGTAGAAATGTGAATGGACGTAACTTGTCCATCCCTTTTTACTCTGTAGGGTTCAGAGAATCAGGAGTGGTGGTAGTTGGGAATCCGAGTTCGGAACCATATTAAAAACTAGCGAATATCTGGGTGAACCCTGTATAATACGAGGATTTCATGTTCAAATCAAAATCTACTGTTAAGATTTGACTGCTTCTCTTGTGTATTTCGAATAACTCTTTTTTGAATGTATTGAAAGAAAATGCAAATCTACTTACCTATGAACAAAATGGGCTCTCATGACAAGTGATATGGAAATTTAACAGAAACCAATGTGTAGAATGTATTTATTTGGGGTTTGTAAGTACTATTGAGCCTCTTCCGGCGGTGTGGTGGGTACCTATCCTCTTAAAAAAAGTGATAGTTTCTATAGTAGAATACTACTCCCTCCGTCCCAAAGTATTTGTCCACTTTCATTTTTACACACCATCCAATGCACTTTTTAAATCCATTTTATCTTGTAATTTGTATATTAAAAAATTATAGAAATTATATATTAATAATCTGTATGTTAAGACAAATCAAACAAGATCACACATGACTATATTTAGGCTTACACATTGAGAGAATTTGATGAGTCAAAGTGCTTAGATGAACAGTTCCAAAAGTCAAAAGTGGACAAAAACTGGGGGACAGATGGAGTAGTAGCCAATCAAGTGCCAGTTAAAATCAGTAGGCAGAATATTCTTGTCAAGTGCTCACATTGAATCACAATCAAGGTTCAGAGTGTATAAAGCTTTGTAAAAAGCCATCTCTAATTAGACTATTTGAGAGAAGTCGGTTGTGGAGAGTAGAGAATATTGAACGGTGTGGATGTTTTTTCAGAATCTAATGGTACAAAGCTGCAGACCTTTTTGGAATTTTGGTAAAAGAGTCTCTTGTATTGAGTGATTCTCTTTCTACTTTTGATCTATTATCCTGCATTCATGCTTCATAGTTAAATGGTTTATTTTTCTTGCAATTGATATAAACAGATCAAGGAACAACTGAATGCAGAATCAGTTACAGTTAATGACCTTAATGGTGATGGTCGGCATGTCAGGTGAGGATCCATTTGGCTGACATAGTATTTGCTCATATAAATCATAAACATTGGATATTTAGATGCATAATTGATCTTTTGGGGTGGTTGGTTTGCTAAATACGACGGTACTTAGTTCTTATCGAAGTAATGTAGCATAATGTTGTTTAGCTCAAATTTCATTGCTAATGTAATATTATCGTCATGTGTGGATTTTTGGAGTGAAAGGGAGGGGAACGAAATTACTTCCATTTTCTTTTGTGTTGTAGGATTACATTGATACTCCGTAATATTTTAGACTTTTTCAAATTTGTGGTTGACAATTTGACTACTTAAGCAATATCGTATTTCGCGGATCAAACAGTTTAAGGTAATATCATATGACCTTAAAGTAATCTTGCACATGCTCACAGGTAGTCCTATTACCCAAAGTAGTAATCTCACATTCCATGAACCAGACACCCCTAATTATCTTATCAACGCATGCTAAGTTGTTAGCTCTGCAACTTCATGTCCTGCAATTGAGTTTTCGTTTTCCCAATTCATTGCCCTTAATTGTGTTCATGAATGGAACTTGATCGCAGCATCAACGTTGTCTCTTCGGCATTTGAGGGGCAATCTGCTGTGAACAGACAGAGGATGGTATACAAAGCCATATGGGAAGAACTTCAGCAAACCGTGCATGCTGTTGACCAGATGACTACCAACACACCGGCGGAAGCATCAGGAAAGAAGTGATGTTGCATGCATACCTATTTGTCTCTATAGTCTCTGATTATCTGATCTATTCTTTTCAGCCAAAAGTGAGAGATAGTTGCATGAATGAACTGTTTTTTCTAGTATCTCTTTAATTTTAGTGAAAAGAGAGTAATCTCAACTCCAAAGCATCATGTACTTTACCCCATGAAGTGATTGGGAAAAATGGTTAAACATCGTACATTTATCCCCCCCCCACCACCCCTAATGGAATGTTGGATTGTATGGTATGGTCATGATTTTTTTCAGCGCGTTAGCGAATGGGTGCACCTGGTTTTTTCTTGAATTGAGGGTTTTTTTTGAAATGAGGGTTCATTACAACGAAGTGAAGACTAACCAATTCTCCATCCTGCTCCATCTAGAACTCAAATTTAGTTCCATATCATATGCTCCCTTTGTTCCAAAATAAACTTTTGCATTTTCCTCTATTGTTTATTCTAAAATAAAGTTTCCGTTTTTTACAATGAATGAAATGGGCAATCCACACTAATTCTCTTTTTTGCACTAGTCTACACCAAATAATTTTATGTTTCTTAAACTCTATGAATAATCAAATACGATGTTTAATTTTGAACAGTGGGAATATATATAACTATGAAGCATGAAGATGTCGTTGATGGTACATGTTCATGATGCATGTTCCTCGGGAATCTTTGAGTTAACCAAGATGTTGATGAAGACTACCACAAATTGGTCCAGGTACGGTCTGAAGATGTTATTCATCAGATTTATGAATATAGCTGGGGCATTGGCAAGACCAGATGGCATCACGGTAAATTCATAGTGCCCATAACGAGTCCAAATTGTCGTCTTGGGTATGTCCTTTTTGACCGGAATCTGATGATAGCCCGATGTCAATTCAATCTCGGAGAATACGGTTGCTCCACGTAGCTGGTCAAGCATGTCGTCGATGCACAACAACAGATAATGATTCTTAATAGTGGCTTTGTTGAGCTGTCCGTAGTATATGCAAAGTCTCATGGACCCATTTTTATTTTGCACAAAGAGCACAAGTACTCCCCACGGGGACACACTCAGATGGATAAATCCTCTATCCGACAACTCTTGTAATTAACCTTCAGTTCGTTCATTTTTGCAAGCGCCATCCAATACGGAGTAGTAGAGATGGGCTCTGTACCGAGAACTAAGTTAATAGAGAACTCTACTTCTCTCTGTGGAGGTAAAACAAGAAGTTCATCGGGGGACATGCCTGGAAATCCACACACAGAGGGTATGCCCTTATAATTAGAAGGCTCCTTCCTGACGTATTGAATGTTACAGAGGAATGCTCACACTTACGAATCATACGCAAGGCTTGCATAAAGGATATGAATGTTGGTGCCTTCGAAAACAGCTCTCCATATACCACGGACGCGTTGTCATCTGCGGCTCTCAACTGAACAGTCCTCGCATTGTAGACGACTTCGGCTTGATGCACCGGAAGCAACTCCATACCAAGGATAATATCAAATTTCTTGTGTGGCAACTAGATCAGATTCGCGAGGAACGCCTTGCCTCGAACATTCAGGGGGCAATGCTAGTAGACGTAGTGTAAACTCATTTGTGCCCAAGGGGATTGCACACTTGCATCAGACTCTTGAGTCGACTCCTCACAACATAAGAAGTAGCAGGCCCATGATGTGAAATCACGGAGATTTTGTGCTCCATAGCATTCTTGATGCACAGCTATTTGACACCTGAAAAATGAAAATACAATTGTCAATAAAATTTGATAGAATTTAGGATTGGGTATGGACAACTGGATTGGACAACAAGACACTTGGGTTGAACCACATTAAAAGATTGAATCCAATCGATTAGTTAGTTCAACTCAAGGGCTTATATACCGGTTTATTTTCTCTTCAAGTTCCGATGTGGGATATTCTTTAACACTCCCCCTCAAGTGGACAACCGGGCCATTTTGAATCTAACCGGTTGACCACTTGCAAATGGACTCCCATCCTCTTGATTTTTTTTTGAGCGCCAACACCTAAAGGACCACGAGCCGCTGGGTATGGACTTCCAGACGAGCAATCGTGTTAAACAGGCCACAGGCCGTTGGGTACAACCTCCATACGGACAACTGGGCTAAAGACTAACGGGCCGCTAGGAATGAACGTCTAGACGGACACCTTGACAAACGAGGTGGGCTAAAACTGGCTCTGATACCATGATAGAATTTAGGATTGGGTATGGACAACTGGATTGGACAACAAGACACTTGGGTTGAACCACATTAAAAGATTGAATCCAATCGATTAGTTAGTTCAACTCAAGGGCTTATATACCGGTTTATTTTCTCTTCAAGTTCCGATGTGGGATATTCTTTAACAAAATTGTTAGATGTTCAGATATTACTTCCAAGAATGTCACTAGAACAATTTCACAAATGCAAGATTGTCATTTAGCCAACCCCAAGTTTCTTGGGATTTAAGGCCTAATTGTTGTTACTAAGGAGGAAACATTATTATTGCTCCCTTTGTTCGTATTTCTGTCTAGGTTGACCACTTCTCTGTGTTCCTGCGTACCTTTCCCTTTATGAAATTGAAGCATATAACCCCCCCCCCAATTTTCCCTTCTTACACTATTTGATTTACTCCCCTTCCATGTAGAAACGCTAATGATAGTGCCATTAAATGAGGTCATTTCTGACAAAGTATGAGTTTTGACTAACTATCATCCCAATTCATTTTCTTGAACAGTGCTTTGGTCAACCTAGATAGAATAGGAAAAAAGGGAGTATCATTTAAAAAAGAACATTCTTTTTGTCAAACCTATTGCAAAGGATGATTTTGTTATAGTCCCAATCTTCAACCCATCGACATACTGCACATCTTTCTGTTGTCCACTTCGCATTAACCGGCTCATAGTTTTCTATCAGATTTCATTGTCCTCAAGTTAGTCTCATTATCAAGGATGCTGGAAGCAAGAAAAAACAAAACGTTGCCAAACCATAAAATTTTCAAACCCCGGTAGTATCTACCTTGAAGAAAAGAGAGAAGTTTCTGCCTTTGAAATTTCAACGGTGGACGTTTAATAGGTTTGGATGGAATAACACTCCGTTCGTGATATGCTGCTATCTGTAGCATCTGTAACGGTAAATAGATGTCAACTTCTGTTTAGTCAAATACAATTAATCATAAATCACTCTGGACCAAAGTACTCTGTAAAATATTGAATGCCAGAACGCATGGGCACTTACTGTGAAAAAGTAAGATCTTGAAAAAGTAATGGAGGAATCTATACCCAAGATTACATCAAGCATATAGTAAATCAGGCATCAACGGATTCGGTTAACATGAGCGAACGGCTCCGGGTTAGACTTGGGAACCTGTTTTTTGACTTCAGGGGTTCCAAAAACATTCCAGAATCTTAGAGTTTCATCACCTGCAGCAGATGCAACAGTGCAACCATCTGGGCTCTGCACAACAAATATGATTGTGAGTATACTAATCATTTACCACGCACAGCCACAGAAATCTTTTGATATTAATTTTGTGAGAAAAAGAAGAAAGATAGTTAAACCTGATCCATAAAAAGAACTCGAGAGGTATGTCCCGTAAGCTCTGCCATTTTAACCATTGATGGGTATTTCCAGAGCGTGAGCTGATTCTTAGTAAACCCATTAGAGCTAAGCACCTCGCGCTCACTCTTGTTCCACAGCAATGCGCACACCTGAGACCCTGTATCAACTGAGTTCACACATGAACGGGTATGAGTATTCCAGAACTTAATGCATCAGTCTCCGCCACCTCCGCCTGAGGCCAAAAGGTTCCCCTGAAATGGACACCAGGCAAGGGCCTTAACTGCAGCTGACAGCTGTGTGTTCCTCGAACCTGTGAAGCCATTGTGTGGTTGAGGAGGTGGAGTTGGAAGAAGAAACAGCAGTCGATGATCTGTCCCATATATAGAGAAGGTTATCGTTTCCTCCGCTTGCCAACTGCTGGCCCGAGGCAGACCATTTTAGGCTGCACACTTCTTGACTATGTCCTCTGTAGGTTTCCACAATATGTGATCTCACCCGGACGTCATTGTTGAAAATCATACGATCCATCCCACCTGTTGTCATATATGATTGTTCCAATCGAGGGCTCCTACTCGTGATTGGTGGCCACCTCTCAAAGTTCGTAACTGCCCAGCAAACAAAAACTCAGTATTCATTCAATCATCGAAAGAAAAGAAACCAAGCCTGAATACAAAAGAGCTTGAGAAGAAGCATACCAATCTGTTAGCCGTGGAATCCCAAAGCTGGACATCAGAATTATTCAAGCCAATGGAAACATGCCTTCCGTCGGGAGCCCATTTAACACTCGTAACCGGACCAAATTCATCATCAACTGTGACCAATTCAGAAGTGCTGCCCTCAGAAGCATCCCACANAACATTGATGCTTCCCCAATCTAGTAGATTCAAGTAGTAATCATCCAAAATATCTGGGGCATCTAAAGTCCTCTCAGATGTCTGCAAAAATGAATCATTCATTGTGAGAAAAAAAGAATCCTTTCTATCATTGACCCGCTAACCTCAAGAACAATCAAGCACTACTTGCCTACCTGAGGAATGTGGCGACGGGGTTTTGTAGGTTTGGCCTGGTAAGCGGAAGAGTTCTCGTTCAGAAAACCATCCAAAGGGAGGTGGGTGGTTTGTTCTTAAAAGCAAGGAACCTCCGTATCATGTTAAAGATCTCCGCACGCTGCTTTCGGTATGCTTCTCTTGAAGGTGAACTGGCCGGAATCTCTTTAGCTTTGCATCCTTCAGTCACCATAAAATGTGCATAGTCAAAATCCATTGCAGATCTATTAGGAATGAACCTGTCCCACTACATAAAAGTGGCCCAAAAGAATTCAGTAAGTCAATTATAACCCAAAAGAATTCAGTGACTCAAATTGAAGGTTTCAAATGGTAACCATATCCTCGATGAACTTATCATCCAACAACCCAAATAAAATTGGAATAAGGTTACTTAATGAATTTCAGAATTAGATACATAAAACCAAAGTGACAATGAAATTTAGATCAACTGCCCAGATGGAAGAACAGAGACCTTTTTCATGGGATATAGACCAGTTTGCATCAAATGTCTAGATGAAATTTACATCAATTCACGCAGGGTAGAGATGACATAAATTTTCATGGGAGCTTTTTCTCTGACGATACTGCTCCTGAAGAGGAAAACGACTGGATCCAGTCATGTTCGATGCCATAGAGTTTCTTAATCCTGCATCCATCACGTTAATAACACACAAACAAAAAAAAAGAAGCGAAAAACAACAGCAGTAAACAGAAATATACATTTAGAAAGAAAAGGGCCTGCAAAAACAATATTAGACCGTTAAGAGATCAACAAAATTAATCAAAATCGAATGTAGAATAAAGAACGACAGAGATTCAAAGTATCAAGATCCAAGATCGAGAGCCGTTGGGAGATCGATTGAGAACAGATTCAATGAAGCGAGCGAGAGCGAGAGAGAGCAGAGAACGGAAAGGGATTGAGAATGGTTCGCTTCAAACTGTTCTAGGGTTATATTGACGCCGCTTGGCAAAAAGGAGTCGTGGTAATTTGCTTGGACTAAAATGCCCATCCGAGTCAGGGGGTTCCAGCAACTCTATGATTTGGGAAAGGAGCTCTTAATTACGCTCATTTAATTATTAATTACACAATATAAAAACTATAAACTAGTAATAAATATCATAATCATCTTGCCAAACCAGAGCCTTCCTGTCACGTTTGCTACGCCGTATCTGCACCTCATTTTCAGCCATATCTTCATCCTCAACTACTCTACTGTCAGCCCACTTGCATCACTATCCACAGCATCCAGAGAATTTTAGCCGTAGCATTATCTGAACTAGCGATCGAGCAAAGGTCAGAAGCAAATAGGATATAAGAGATGGACCAGTTCTGTTAGAAGTAAATGATTTGGTGTAACTGGAAACAAAGATTGATCAATGTATCCCAAGTTTTGTTGGAAATAAATGGTTGATTTACCTCATCAGAGATAGATCAATATCCTAAGCATTCCATCCCCTCCCCTTCCCATTCAACTTTAACTTTTGAGTAGTGCCAAACAAATGCTTGAACCCCTTGTCTTGAAAGCCTCCAATAGCACTAAAACAATTAGAAACACAGAATGTATAACATAATATAGTGAGAATGCTCCAATATATAAAACCAGGAATGACCAAAGTACTCTGTAAAATATTGAATGCCAGAACGCATGGGCACTCACTGTGAAAAAGTAAGATCTTGAAAAAGTAATGGAGTAAATCGGGCATCAACGGATTCGGTTAACATGAGCGAACGGCTCCAGGTTAGACTTGGGAACCTGTTTTTTGACTTCAAGGGTTCCAAAAACATTCCAGAATCTTAGTGTTTCATCACCTGCAGCAAATGCAACAGTGCAACCATCTGGGCTCTGCACACAAATATGATTGTGAGTATTTTAATCATTTACCACGCACAGCCACAGAAATCTTTTGATATTAATTTTGTGAGAAAAAGAAGAAAGATAGTTAAACCTGAGCCATAAATAGAACTCGAGAGGTATGTCCCGTAAGCTCTGCCATTTTAACCATTGATGGGTGGGTATTTCCAGAGCGTGAGCTGATTCTTAGTAAACCCATGAGAGCTAAGCAACTCGTGCTCACTCTTGTTCCACAGCAATGCGCACACCTGAGACCCTGTATCAACTGAGTTCACACATGAACCGGTATGAGTATTCCAGAACTTAATGCATCGGTCTCCTCCACCTCCGCCTGAGGCCAAAAGATTCCCCTGAAATGGACACCAGGCAAGGACCTTAACTGCAGCTGTGTGTTCCTCGAACCTGTGAAGCCATTGTGTGGTTGAGGAGGTGGAGTTGGAAGAAGAAACAGCAGTCGATGATCTGTCCCATATATAGAGAAGGTTATCATTTCCTCCGCTTGCCAACTGCTGGCCCGAGGCAGACCATTTTAGGCCGCACACTTCTTGACTATGTCCTCTGTAGGTTTCCACAATATGTGATCTCACCCGGACGTCATAGTTGAAAATCATACCATCCATCCCACCTGTTGTCAGTATATGATTGTTCCAATCGAGGGCTCCTACTCGTGATTGGTGGCCACCTCTCAGTATTCATTCAATCATCGAAAGAAAAGAAACCAAGCCTGAATACAAAAGAGCTTGAGAAGAAGCATACCAATCTGTTAGCCGTGGAATCCCAAAGCTGGACATCAGAATTATTCAAGCCAATGGAAACATGCCTTCCGTCGGGAGCCCATTTAACACTCGTAACCGGACCAAATTCATCATCAACTGTGACCAATTCAGAAGTGCTGCCCTCAGAAGCATCCCACAGGTAAACAGTACTGCCAAGAGCAATAGAGAGAACATTGATGCTTCCCCAATCTAGTAGATTCAAGTAGTAATCATCCAAAATATCTGGGGCATCTAAAGTCCTCTCAGATGTCTGCAAAAATGAATCA